TATGTATGTATATATGTGGGTTCCTAGGTCAAATTGAAATTTTCTTTCTTTGTACTAAAATGTGATATTTATACCTTTGTAGATAGACTGTCTTCTCCTTAGTAACAAAATTTAAGATTAAATTTGATACTTTGGTCTTTTATAGTTTTATTATGCACTATCTATTAGATCACTAAATCTGAAATGTTTGATTTTGAATCAAAAGTTTAGTTTATTATGTCTTAAACAAGAAGCAGTACCATTAATCAAAGTATGTGACTAAGCTGTCAACACAGTTTTACCATTTTAACAGCAGCTTGTGTGTGCCTGCAGCAGAGAAGCCTGGAGAACGAGTGGCAATGAAATCGTGAAAGGTGTTTTCTACAGCTTACTGAGAATTGACTATTTTGCCTTGCAAGAATTAGTCCAAAGCCTGTAAGAAATGGTACAGTTGGTGCAAGATCTGGTGAATATGGTGGATGACAGAGAGTTTCTAAGTCCACCTTTTGTAGTTTGAGGAGAGTTGTTTGTGGGCCAGCATTGTGTTGCGAGAAGATTGGCCTATCTCTGTCACCCAGTCTTGGCTGCTTAATCACAGCATCCTCATTGCTTTGTACGTTTGGCTGTAGTAGACATCTACTATGATTGATTGACCAAGTTTCGTGCAGCTATAGTGAATAATACCAGTGCTGGATCACCAAACAAGACACCATTAGCTTTTATTGATGAATATTCAATTGGTACTATGTTTCAGGACTTCATCTTTATCCAACCATTGTGTCAAAAAGAATTTATTTACATCTCATGTGACAATACTATGTAAAAATGGTTTGCCTCTATGTTAGGACAGCAAAGAAAGTCAAGCTTCACTATGATTTCTTTTCTGACATTTATTTAATTCATGCAGAACCCATCTATCCAGCTTTTTTACCTTGCCAGTGTTTCAAGTGGTTCAATATTGTTGGAATAGTAACATCAAACCTTACTGCTAGGAATGCTGGTATTTTTGAGACAGGAGTCTACCAGCCTCTTCATTTGCTAGCAAATTAATAAACTTTTCTTTCTTTCTCAAAAACAAACTTGCTGCTAATTCACACACAGGTTGAGATGGATTCG